TATTGTGCGAAATAGTGTTTGGTATATACACCGAAAATTTTATTGTAATCAGATTTATAAAAAAAAATTAAAATAGTGATATATATTTTGAACCATTTTAGAAAGATCTGACGGCTGGGATTCCACCTATATTACTATTCATTATAGCTGCCCAACTATTATAATGTTTACTCATAGGAAAAGCTAACAATAGCTGGACAGCTATAATGAATAATAATATAGGTGGAATCTCAGTTGTCAGATCTTCATCATGCGGTTCAGATATGAATTTTAATATTTTTTTAGAAATCGGATCATAATGAAATTTTAGACGTGTATACTAAAAAATAGGGCGCACAATTAAAAATATATATAAAAAATATTTTCCAAATATAAAATGATCGAAATGCCCCTAAAAATTGATGGGGGTAATTTGGCCATTTTAAATTATTAAAAAAATACTTTTTTTATATTTTTACCCAAACTTTCTTCTTAATCAGATTTATAGAAAAAAAATAAAAATTAAAATAATGTTATGTATTTTGAACCACTCAATAAAGATCTAACGGTTGAGATTCCACCTATATTACTATTCATTATAGCTGCCCAGCTATTATGAGGTTTACTCATATATAGGAAAATGCTAATAATAGCTGGGCAGTTATAATAAATAGTAGTATAGGTAGAATTCCAATCGTCAGATCTTCCTCATGTGGTTCAGAATGCATATTACTATATAAATTTTAATATTTTTTTAGAAATCGGATCATAATGAAATTTTAGATGTGCGTACTACAAAATAGGGTGCACAATTAAAATATATATAAAAACTATTTCCTAAAATATAAAAAGACTGAAATACCCCTAAAAAATGATCGGGATAATTTGGTCATTTTAAATTATTTAAAATAATTTTTTTATATTTTTATATGGTGCGCAATAGTATTAAGTATATACACCCAAACTTTCATCTTTATCAGATTTATTGAACCACTCGATAAAGATCTGACGGCTGGGATTCCACCTATATTACTATTCATTATAGCTGCCCAATTATTGCAAAGTTCACTCATATATAGGAAAAAGCTAACAAAAGCTGAGCAGTTGTAATAAATAGTAATAAAGGTGGAATCTCAACTGTCAGATCTTCATCATGTGGTTTAGAATGCATATCATTATATGAATTTTAATATTTTTTTATAAAAATCGGATCATAATGAAATTTTAGACGTGTCTACTAAAAAATAGGTTGCACAATTAAAAAATGTTTCCCAAAATATAAAATTACCGAAATACCCCTGAAAAATGATCATTTGGTCATTTTTAATTATTGAAAATAATTTTTTAATATTTTTATATGGTGCGTAATAGTATTAGTATATACAACCAAATTTTCATCTTAATCAAATTTATAGAAAGAAAATTAAAATTAAACTAATGATATGTATTTTGAACCACTCGATGAAGATCTGATGGATAAGATTTCACCTATATTACTATTTATTATAGCTGTCCAACTATTGTCAGGTTATATATATATATATATATATATAAAGGCCGATTCCCTAAACAATCAAAATAAGGGTGCACCTTCAAATTGTAAAAGCAAACATTGTTGTATAGCCCAATTTTTTGCACATATACACAGGGACTTATAAAAACCGTGTCCTATATATATGTAGGAACTTTACTTGTAAAAGCAATGTTGCAACAATCTATACCTTCTATTTTATTTGGATATTGTAAATTTAACATATATCTTAAAAGATATGCTATTTTTTTGATAGAGTCTAAAAGACATGTCAAATCTATACCGTCCAATTAAAATAGACATTGTAGAATATCGTAACTTTGCTTTAAAAAATAAAGTTGCAACCTTATACAAACCACAAACACACACATGTGAATGGACTTTACAAAAATCAGAAAAGGCTTGTGATCACTTTGATTACTTTGGTATTAGAAAGAACCTCAAGCTTCTCAAGTGTTCTCAAAGGAGGACAGCTCTTCACCAATACCAACTTGTAAGTCGAGGTCTACTACTTGGTTACACTAACTTTTTCCATCTGTCAGCTCGAATATAGTAGTAAATATCAAACCTTGAAGGAGGAACTGAAGAAACAGAATGACACCCATCGCTGCAAAGAAAACGTACGTCACCATGAATCTGTTTACGACAAAAGTCACCCATAAGGGGGACAGTCTAAGTAACGCGAGTCTTGTACCATTCTTACAAACACGGAGCAGGAATATGTGAAATCCATTGAAAGGCTGAGACAGGTGTATGATTTCAAGATGGGGGAGCTGGAAAACCAAATAATGTAATGCTCTCGTCCATTACTCTCCTTGCTATAACTGGATTCAGTTGTTCACTTGCTCGAACATTTGCTTTGTAAGAGACTGCCAAGTCCACAGAACAGCAAATGGAGATGTTATAAGCCAACTTCACTGTGAATTGGCAAACGGGAAGAACCAAATAAAGATCCTCAATGAACGCTTGGGATATGTGAATGCTGATCTGGGACTGAAATGTAAGCTTCCCAAAAACTGTTTCTTGTTGCTTTAATTGTTCTGGATTAAACATATTTTAAAGCACATCTTTTTGGCAAAAGATGTGTTACAAATCATAAGCATCAGTTTTTAACAGTTATGGTTGTTCAAGAAACAGCCTTAAGAGAACATGCCTGTGATGTATACAATGCAACAGATCAAGATGACATCCGGGCTCTCTGAAGGATTGGCTCCAACTAGAACAGGAGGCAAAAACTAAATTGGCCAAACAGCTCCAAAATGCAGAACAAGCATGTAAGGATCAGTTAGCTGGTTTGATTGTCATGTCTTGGTATATGAACCTATCTCGATTTATATCCAAGAGAAATAATGATCCATTTTTCAAAAGGGTGCATTGCTGGGCATAAGCATTTCCAACAATCAAACTATTGTGACCCAATGTTTGCTCTGATGCAGTGAAGATCAGCAAAGCGTAGCATGACAACCAACTTGCAGGATCAACTTCAAATCGCAATGTTGTAATCTTGAAGCAAAAGATTATGAAACTGAGGAAAGAGAACGAGGAGTTGAAAAGGAAATTAAATACTGTGCAATCTGAGGAACAATGAACATCCTTTATTGATTTTCAATACTAAGAAACATCCTTTATTGATTTTCAATATTAAGAATTGGTTTCCAAATTTCCTCCACTGACAGTATTTACCAAAGCCATGTCTAGCCTAAATGGGTTCATCCAGATACGTACATCGGTAGCTTTCTGCACAAAAATAATTGCATATAGCAAAATAGTGTAGACAGTTAACGTCGTCTTCGGTTTGTTTTTGTTGTGTGTTTGGTGTTGGTTGAGGGTGACTGAACTGAGACAGGTAAGAGTGTCCCTCCCTTGACATCATCTGTATTTGGCAGATTATCCAGCGTCTTTTGAGCCTCAATGTAAACCATAAAGTCTCTAACCTGGAATAACATATTAAAAATTAGTAGAAATGTTCTAGTGCATCACTACTTTCAAAAAAATATTACAAACAATGTTCTAGAAAGAAGCTACAATGGAATAGAAGTCGATAGACGAGGAAAACCTGCTCTTCCAAATCCATAATCTTTTCATCCCTTTCCTTTATTGCCATTTTCTCCCTGAATGGAGAAAAATATCAGTTGATCAAAGATTCCAACTAGAAAACATGAGAAACAATAAAATTATGTGAAATATGATATGTTATTTAGAAAATAAGATTCATGTTTAATCCTTTTAAAGTAACACAATCTTGGCATTATGAAATAATCTACTAAACATTAAGAACCTTTTAGTACTATATGAAGCATGGGTGTATATATGCACAGATATTATGTACACATATTCACTCATACTTCATTCGGGAGAATTCAAAATGAATACATTCGGGAGAATTTAGTGCGGCACTAATAGGCGATAAGATGAGAGAAAGTAAACTTAGGTGAGCTGGCATGTGTGGGGAGCAGGTTCAATATAGCATCTGTTAGGAGGTGCGAGTTAGCTCAAAGGGAAGGCTCAATATGGGTAAAGGGTAGACCTAAAACGACACTTGAAAATAGTAAGAAAAGATAAGGGGTGTGGCGTCACTAAGGGTTAATCCTAAGGAAATGTTCTCAATAAATTCTACAGTTAATGCTCACAAAAAAAAAAAAGATTGAACACATGTACACACATATGTGCCTGATAAGAACCATATATTTCCTGTATATAATTTTTTCTTAATGTTTACAAAAAAAAAAAAGTTCATATATGCCTTGTATATTTGCCTGCAAAAAATGGCATCCTAAGATTGAAAACAGACCATCCAATGATGTCAGATCTAAGTGTTTAGAAACTCACAATCTGATTCTTTTTTTTTTCAATGGAATTACTCTTTTCTTTTTGAGAAGCATTTACTTTGTATTAAAGAAAAAATAGTGCAAGATGTACAAGTCACAAAAAGTAACCTTATAGAAAATGAACACCCACAGACCAAGTGCCGTATACAGTAAACCCACTCAGGGTCACTTTACAAGAGAATAAAAGTGGTCAACAAGCCTATACAAAGAGGCAAAAACAACTAAACAGGAGGCTCATAGAACATGGTTGGATAAGATCCCGAGGAGATCTCAGCAAGGTGGGCACCATCTTTGGCGAGAGTATCAGCTATAGCGTTTGCTTCCCGCCTTATGTGCGACAAAGAGATGAGAAGCTCACTGGAAATGTGCGAAAATTTCTTCGAATATATGTGCCAATCTCCACGGATTGGCAGATGAGCCCAATGCCCAGTTGATGACGTTGTTGGAATCTCCCTCTACGATGAGGATGGGACCCCAGGAGGTGTTGAAGTTGCAGAAGCCTTCAACGAGAGCAATGGCTTCTGCGGTGGTAGAGTCTGCCTGTCCAATGGAGGGTGCAACCTTCATGGTCTCGGTAGATGCTCCCAATCCCTGTTGGGCCCGGATTGCCTAAGGAGGAGCCACCAAAATTGAGATTAATTTGGCCCAGGTCAGGCAGCCTCCAAAGGGAAGCCTTGGAAATGTGAGAGGGAGAGAGGTGCAGTAAGGCTTGCCAATTGAGATGAAAGTCAGTGTGTGAAAAAAGTTTGAAGGCTGAGTTGTTCCTGGCCCAAAAGATGACAGATTCCAATCTCTTCCTTTGTAAGGCCATCCGTGGGTGTGGAAGAAACACCACTGAAATTCTGTTGTTGTGCTCGGTCCAAAGGACCCACAGGGCACAGTGTAGCAGCCACTTAGGCTCGCCAGAGCAAAATCCCATATTTGCTGCAAGGGAAGGGGTAAAGGGATCTAAATAAACTGGGAACATTTCCGGGGGTCACCCAACACCAGTTGAAAAGCTGCACTAGGTCCCCCCACAGTTTCTGTGCACCTTGCAATGAACGAAAAGATGTGCATTGATCTCCTCGTCCTCCATACATATGATGCACCAATTGGGAATGGGTAGGCCCCAGATTCGGAGTTGGTCAACAATTAAGGCTCTTTGGGCAACGGCTATCCAGTTGAACACTTGGATCTTAGGTGGAATGAAAGGGGACAAGGCCCTAGAGTTGATACAGTGGGGGAGGGTAAGGTAGAGCCCAAGAGGAGTTTGCGGCAGAAGGAAGAGACAAAGAAGCGACCGGACGTAGTGAGAGATGATGCCATCAGCTCCCTAAGAAGGGTGAAAAAAGAGTGGGGTAGGGTAGACATGTCAAGGAAGTCATCCAACTCAGCGTTTGTTAGGGCCCTACAGAACCTGGGATTCCAAATTCTAGTAATCAAAATGATCAGAGGGTGGAATTGCCAAGCCAGAGGTCTAACCAGAACCTCACATGACCACCTGCCCTAGGCAGGAATCTAACATAGACTTTGAATTGAGGCAGGCTTAGCAGGATTATCTCCCCATCCCTGAAGCATGATATAAAGCCCTGCAAGAAGGTAGCCATTTGGAAGAGGGGAAGCGATATTTGCAACGAATGACATGTAGGTGATTGTCCTGGGTGGTCAAACACCACCACCATTTTCCTAGAAGGGCAAGATTGTTCAATTTAAGGTGGCGAATACCAATTTTCCAAAGATTTTGGGTAGGCACACTCTCTCCCAAGAGAGGAGGTGGAACTTACGGTGTTCCTTGTCCCCTGACAACAGGAAGTTGCACATGATCTGTTCAAGTCAGCGAGCTACCGAGGAAGGCATGTGGAAGAGTGAAATCTGAAATATGCATATGTTAGAGAGGGTGGCTTTGATTAAAGTGACTCTCCTCACGGGTGAGAGAAACCTGCCTTTCCAGCCAGCGAGTCTCAAACTTGTCAATAAGGTGGCTCCATTGGTTGGTTTTGGGCTTGGCAATGTACAATGGTCCCAAATAGGTGAAGGGCAGGGATTGGACCTCGCAACTCTAGAGATTAGCCAAGTCCTGGATGGTTTCGGCTTCAGAAGATACCCCAATCATCCTAGTCCTGTTCATGTTCACCCTGAAACCAGTGGCGAACTCGAAGCACTTGATGAACAACAACAAAGTGTTGGTTTGAAGGTGGAAAGTACCGCAGAAGAGGAGCGTGTCATCTGCATATTGGAAGTGGGAGATGGCCGGGCCTGTGGACTGAATCCTAAAATCTTCAATGAGTCCATTTTGGTAAATTTTAGAAATGGACCTACTGAAAATCTCCCCAACAATGCAAAGAGGAAAGGCGATAGTGGGTCGCTCTGCCAAAGGCACAAGAGGAGGGGAAGAATCCTTTGGGGGATCCGTTGATGATAACTGAGAAGAAGGGATTTGAAATGCAACCTCGGATCCAGATTCCCCGACAGACCCTGAAGCAGGGTTTCCTCTAGGACCGCCCAATTCACCTGACCGTATGCCTTTTCCCACTCAAGCTTGACGACAACACCCGACATTCAAGAGAGATGTTGAGATTGGATGCATTCGTGGGCTACAAAGGCACCGTTGAGAATTTGGCGGTCTTTGACAAAAACCACTTGGTAAGGTGAGATGACCCAAAGGAGAACCTCTTTGAGACGGGAAGCAAGCACTTATGGAGAAAATTTTGCAGAAGCTGTTTATCGGGCCAATGGACCTAAAGTCCTTAAGCTCCTCTGCTCCCTCTTTATCGAGACTACCATATAATGAGCTCCTACACTTTAGCATTCTCCATTTGGATTAGTATTACTATAACCACATTTGACGTCTGAGTGATTATCAGAGTAGAAGTCTAAGCTAGGTGCATATTAGCATATTTGCTAGAGCACAAAATAGGTTTTCCTTCCAACCTGCGTTTATGTAATGAAAAAGACTGCTTTGAATACATGAGTGAATTTCGAGGATGTCCAAAACCCAAACCCAACAACTAAAGTCAAGGAAATACCTAGCCTTGATCATCCTACACCCAAATTACTTTAATCCCTTAGAAACAACATGGATACAAGTTCAGCACCCCTGAAACCCTGAGACAACCCTTTAGACCCAGTCAAAACCAGCACAGATTAGGCTATATGATTTAAACCAACCTGGGAAATTCCATAAGCTTTTAAAAACTGCAAGAATCACCTGAATTCGATGTACAATTTGAAAGTTATGGACAAAATACTAATAACCCGCCAAATCCCATTTTAATCCATGGCCAGCACATTCCACACCATACATGAGACAATCCGTGCCATGCAAGGAATGGATCTGTTCGTGCTTTCCTAAGATCTGCTAGAAGATGCAGAGACACATCCCTTTGTGATTGACCCATTTAGGGTAGGGTTTAGACCTAGAAAATCCCAATTAGGAGTCTGACACTGACATCCATAAGTTCACTTCCTAAAATCTTATCCAAAGTAGGTCATATACTATATTAAATTGTCAAAAATGTTATAATATTTCCAACAGATCAAGAACTGTCTGAATTCAATGCTCCATTGAAAGGTTACGAGCAAAACAATGAACCTAATTGATGAATCCAAGTACTTCTAGGACACCTAAACAGACTTCGGATAGTACCTATAGGCTTCCAAAAGGTCTCTTGATGTCTTCATCACATGTGGGATTTATTAAGGCCAACTTTTAGCCCATAATCCTCACATATTAGGCATGGGACTAGTTAATATATAGAGACCCCCCTATAGGGCCAATTCAAGGAGAATTAAGAAAGACAATTCAAATCCTTCTTTTGAGAGATTTAAGAGTTCCACCTACGTTTGCAAGACCTATCTTCTTTCCTGCAAGCCTTAGCATGTCCTAAGCTAAGCGAAAACAAAAAATTTATATGCCTAGATAGCAATATCATATGCTTAAACCACCATGTTATCATCAAGCAGCCAAAGAAATCTATCTACCAAGAAATCTATCTACCAAGTCAATTATCAAAATAAAAGAAAATCTTTTCACCAAGTCATACCTCATTCTTGCATCAGATTACAAAATATCTCAACATAAAGCTCATCCAACATAGAAATCGTTAAGAATAATTCCCCAAACCCTCTGTCCAAAACTATAATGGAACAATAACTAATACACAACTCTCTCAATCCCACATATCCTAAACCATATACTATGATAAACACTCCGGTCTCTAATCTTCCATAGTCATATTTCTGTTCCCATAAGGGAAGGGAAGCAACACTAGAAGCATCCTTTCCAATCACTACAGTTTTAGATATGCTGGCATTCAACATTAAGCAAACCAAATATAATTTCGACACTATAGTTTTCTCTCCTCACCCATTCACTAGAACAAGCCTCCTGTGTCCATTTTTGCTCCATGACCTTAGAACCTGTTAGAGGTGTTTTATATCATGATCATGGTTCATGTCATTTCACTGTTAACTTATTTTTTCTCCAAAATATACATGGTACCAAGACTCAAACTTGCTCTAAAATTTCACTTTTGGATAAATGAAACTGTGCAACTAAGACAAATCTTCGTAACTGGTCCTAAAATGTAAACTTTGCAGATTCAGCATTATATATGGAGTTGAGACTAGTAATTTCGGAAGTACGAGTTAACCAAAGAACATAATTGAAGTATAGGTATCAATCCATAATCTAATGAGCTTGCAAAAGAACTTGTCTCCAAGATGATAAGGATTTCTAGTTATAGTAGCTAATCTCTCATGCTTTGAGATTAGTCGATCCTCAAGTGAAGTCAGCATTGGACGAGTTTCAATGTTGATAGAAACTTACACCTCCTTGCAAGAGTAGCTTCTGGTGGTTCACAACTATGGATTCAACTACACAAGTAATGTATGTATGGAGTCTATAAAGCATTAAAATAAATCATACCATATTAATTTCAATAAAATATATGCAGAGACTTATCAAGAGCATGCTAATCGCCATAATCAAGTTTGTTTAACAATTCAAAATAATGTGCTTCTCAGAATGTGTTTTCAGGTGAAGGTCTTCCAAACACATTTCAAAAATGTCTACCTTGGTAGTGATTCCACCAACAACAAAAGTTCCCATCAAATAAAGCAAGAGAAAACTTCCAGCCAAACAAGGAAAATAAGGTACCTTTCTTCAATTTCCTGAAGCTTTTTCTTCCAAATTTCTTGCTTCTTCATAAGCTTGTCATTGGCCTAAATGAAAGCAAAAAGTAAACATGAGATGTATGGTGGCATCACTGCCTCAAACTTAAAACTACTAATAATGCACACATGAAATTAGCCAAACATACCACAAAAACATCAAACTGTGGTCAAAAAGTTATAAGAGAGTACTTACATCAGCAATGCCTCTGTTTTCTGCGCTGCATTTATCAAGTTTAACATGCATCTCTTGCAGTTTCAAGTTCACGGCTTCACGAGCAGCTGCAGAAACAGTCCTATCCTTTTGCTCCTTGGTCTCCACAAGCAAAGATTCATAATACTGACAAATGGAACAGAAGGCTTATCAAAATAACAAAGGAATGTAACAGAGCACAGACAAAACGTGCCCATTGAAAGCTGCAAAACATTCAAAATCACTCGATCCTCAAAATTGTTGAGGAGTCGAAGCATGTTAACCACTTTGGAACAAATACAGAGGTTCAGGACTCAAACAGGCATGCTGTATAACTGCACTTACTTGTCTCTGACTCTCAAGCTGGTTGGCAAGTAGGTGGTTGTATTCATCCACAATCTGTAGTCAGAATAAAAGATTATGGAGATATTCATCCATGGAAAGAAGCAAACATTTTAGGTTCTGTTTCATGAGCTACAGTAGACCAGAAAGAAAATAAGAGCCCGATTAAAGTCATTTACAGTGAGAAGGCAAAAGTTTATAATCACCGCTTCAAATTTACTATTAAAGAGAGCTGCACTGACTCCAGAATCCCCACTGTATTCACAGCTCCCACATTCATCATCTACAGATCCACAATGCGAATTTAACTCAACTAGCTTTCCATCAGTTTTTGACTGAATTAGTCGATGAACATGTTTATCACCAACATAATCCCATACTCTTTGATTTTCCAAATCCAGTGAATAGCAATGCTGTGTTTCTTTCCAATGCCTAATAGCATGGCCTTCTTTATACCTGAAATAAAATTGGTCAATATTATAGACATAAAAATTGATACGGTCTCCTAAACTAATTTTGAAGAATCAGATATACAAAAGTCATTTTTTTCAATTCAGCCATAGGAAATTGCCGGCTATTGGGAGGCAGGTTAAAAAATTCAGCGACCTGAGCTTGGACTCACCCAAGTCACTTGGACCCGACCGGGTGCCAGGTCCGAAAGAATAACCCTAAGAATCAGGCTGAATCTGACCCAAGTCATGGATTTTCATCAAACCAGAACGATTTGGCCGAGTCAGCCTCTGACTCGGGCTTGGGACCCTAGCGAGTCCAAGGTCATGTCACTATCTAGGAGAGAAGGAACATGGAATGTTCTATTATTTACCTTCCACATCCAACAAATCCACAAATAATGCAAATCCATAAATTCTCTAATGTCTCACAAATAGAGCACGAGGATTTTTCAGGTTGCTGCTGACAAAATCGGCAGACCTGAAAACATGCAGATAAAAGTATAACTATCTTATCTTATATTTTTTGTCAAAAGAGTAATTTCTTTCGCATCCACACCACCATCATAGCAGTCATGAAGCAATGCGTGATTGATGGATGTTTATTTTTATTTTTAATTCTAAAAGTAACTGAGAGAACAAGCGGTCTTTTTGTTTCATGCAGTGTAGTTGAAGGCAGGTATAATTCGAAAATAAAAAATGAATGAACCATTTTAATGAAACAAAGAATGAGCACAACCTTAGTGAGACATGTAGCATAAATGGAAAAGGGTGGGCCAGTAGTGGGATCTCACAAAATTGTGCATGTTGTGTGTCATGTGCTCAAGCAGGCTCTACATATATAAAGATATGTTTACCACATTACATTCCCTTAGGAAGCTCCTACATCATTCAATCCATGGCATAACCAAGTCTCTAATACTTCACAGGCATGTTAAAATGTCTTTGAAATGCAGTAGCAAAACCCAACCAACAGAGGTATGTGCTGGGTCATTTTTCAAAACATGACCAATTTGATAAAACCAACATATGTTGACAGAAGTTATTGAGAAAATCAAGATATGTTGCTGGGTCATTTTTCAAAACACCAAAAGCGTTACTTAGGGAACCAATAGAAATAGGAGCGACTATTGATCACCAGCCACATGCAATCTCTTTGAGCAAACAAGTTCGCAAGACCTGGCCATCAAGATAGATACCACCTGCTAAGGGAGCAGTAGAACTCAACTTTGACAGAAGTTCCAAAAGGAACCACAGCCTGCAGGAATTGCAGGTGTAACATAAGGGACTGATCCTTATGATCTTTTAGGCAACATTAGCCAATTGCAACTCCAACAAGGATGAAGCATTTCTTCATAATTAGAAAAAAAAAAGAAAAGAAGAAAAGGAGGCTTGAAGCCATGCATTACTTACTAGTATTCAATGTTCAGATCCTATTTGGAGCGCACTTCTACTCGAAGGGGACTAGTCCAGTGTCATTTCTTGGAGAAGTATGAAAACAGAGTGTCCTTGGTGTTTGAAAACATTTTGGAAGCAATTCCAGTAATTAGCTCTAGTGTGAATATATACTAACAGATTATTTGGCAAGAGAAGGGGTTTCGAGGAACTCCCCAGTTACATACCAGTGGGTGCTTGGTGTTTCTATGGATCTAAACTCAGAACCCTTCTCATCAGCCACATCTTTGTACCGGGTGGGTATGAATTATGAAATTTGAAATATGGTTCCTCATCAGCCACATCTTTGTACAAGAATTTAAAGATTTGACTGGCACTATACGACCAAACACCTAGAATCATGGCTCTCACACCATGATTGAGAAATTAAGAGGAAAACATTATTTTAATCAAGGGTGAGGTTTGTATAAGGCACCCTTCTTATTCTGTAGAAGTAAGGGGCACCTTCAAGATTTGTAGCTCACATCAAATAGACTTAAAGATAAAAAATGAGATCAATTTGTTCAAGATGCACCTCATGACAACTACCAGTATTTGTAAATATTTATGTACAAATTTTATAAAAAAGCTTGATGCCTAAAAGTTCTCCTAGTATATTCTCATACTAGCAACATGTAAATCGGTAGAAAATCTATTTTAGCAAGAGATGGAAATCTAAACATAATATAACTAAGGTGCAAGTTACATTCTCTCACCGGACAAGAAGAATTAGTCCATTTTGCAGTGCATGATCCATGAAATGAATGATTACACATCGTAGTAAGAATTCCACTGATGTCTTGGTCCAGCCTCTCTACATCATTACATGAAAAATAAATATAAGAATTCTTTTTTTATAAGCCACTTAAAAGTTAGAACTAAAAAACAAACTATTCACAAGGTTAACTATAGCCTCGCTTTTGACCCACTTTACCTCTCACGCATAATTGAATAACACAAACTAAATAGAAAAATCAAATGTAATAAGAGATCTGATCATATTGTGAGCTAAGAACCTAACGAAATGCAATGCTATACAAATCAACTTAATCAACTTCAAACAACTATAAATAAATCCAAATATCTGCTAAGTACATAGCGTCCATCCATTTACCAATAATGAAACTCAGGCAAGGAAATAATGCCCTTTACGTGGGCACCAAAGCAATGGTTCTCAACCCCATCTTGGTTCTTTTTTCTCAGAAAAGATACATGTCACAGATGGCCGATAATGTAAATGGTTATATATAGAGATAAATACAAACATTGAATTATCACACCTACGCACACAAAAGAAAAAAATTGTAGCAATGCCCTTTACATCAGCTTAGTGTAGAGCAGGTACCCCCTTGTGGTGATTTATATGAACAGGTCTTAATATCACTTCTTCTTAGCATTCATTCAAAGGACAATTTTTAGGTTTATGAATGGGAAAAAGTTGATCTAAGAAGGGTGATGACTTTAAACTTTACCTTAACCCGTCTTAAGCCTGGGTAAAAGAGGTAGATTGTGTTAAGTAGGCAGCCAATGTAAAAGTTTGCCAAAACTTTCCATGAATCCTAAATCTATGCTATCTGCTTATGCTAGGGCGTTAATAGAGTAGAATGGCAGAACAAGATTCGTTTAGCCAACCCCAAATAGTTGAGAAAATGCTCTAATGACGATGATGATGATGATGAACCAAAAAAAGTAATCTATGAGCAAACACAAGCTCCAAGAGCAAGTCTGATAAAGTTCAGGAAATTAGCACCCAGTCAAGTTAGAGAATAAATATAATTGTCTCATGGAAAGGCCTACACACAAAACATCAATCTTGCTTGTGTAAGTAGAAGAAAAGTGCCTTTCAGAGCTATTGATTTTATTTTTTATAGGGCATGCAATCAAATCTAAACTTAGAATGCCATTTTCAAGAGAACACAAAGAACCAAGACTTACCAAGGCAAACCGGACATGTTGGTAACTCAGTCAATCCCTTGGGAGGAGTTTCAGCAATTTCTATTGAATCTGTATATCGCACGTCGGAGGTAAAGAGAACATGACAAACCTCTGCCTGTTTTAATTCAAAGAATACAAAACAACACCTTTTCATTGATCCAAGAGACTAGATGCAACTACCCATGAAATATTTACTATTTGCAAAATTTAAAAATTGTCAGACTAGGTGACAACTGAGAAAGGTTCTTAGTTCTGCTACAAGGCAGGGACATTAGAGCTACTTAAATTAGCAGTTAACTGAACCTAAATAAAGAACAGTAAGTTTTTACTCAGGATTAGAACCTCCACAGATGAAAAACGTCTGCCATTGCAATGCCGGAAAAAACCATCAGTAGAATTCTGATTTTCAAACATAACCAAAACACTGTACCTATCATCCATTCCATCATTTCTGCATTCCCCAAAATGTCCAAACCATCAATTAACCAGGTAACAGAAGATAACCAATCCCAATAGATTACAAACATGTAACAAGCAAAAGAATGCATCAGGAAAACTTCTTATAAGTCAAAATGGAGGAAGGCAGCAACCTAATGACTCGCATCTCCAACATGTGCTCTGCAAATGAGCCAGAGAATTGGAAGAACTCAGCATAGGTAATGTGATTTGGAACTGCAAGAACGCAAACAAGTGTGCTCCTCCCTTCCTGAAAATGTCATAAAAATTCAAATCCAAACTGAATTTCAGCCCCAGTTCTGAAATCATGACATATTTTCTTCAAAACCCATAGCTAAAATAAAAGGAAAAGAGAAACAGGGATAAAAGAGAGAAAAAAGAAGTACAATAGAAGAGGAAAGAGAAGAAGAAACAGGAGAATTCGAATCCTATCTCACCCAACCCAAAAAGTGAATACCAATTTCAAAATTTTCATCCATCTGCTTCAAAACCCAAATTTTAGAACATAAGAAAAGGAAAGAGACCAAAAATGAATGACAGGAGAAAAGAAAAAGGGTAACCCAAATTCCATTTAGCATAGGAAATGGGTGACTTCCAGGTTAACAAGAAGAGAGAGAAAGGCAAAAGAGACGAAATAGAATTCATTCATGGCTGAGAAACTCACAGGAAGGGCATCGGGGGACGCAGGGAGATCAGAGACATTGCGAAAGAGGTGGATGATGCCCTTGCTCTCCTGAAATCTAGGGTTTCCAGAGAAGAAGAAGAGTGAATGAGTAGAAGTAGGAGAGGAGGAAGCATCTCCATATTTTGTTGTTGAAAATGGAATCTCAACAGAGTGTATACTAAGAGTGAACATGATTATATGTTATTGCAGAGTTATGGTGTTGAATTCTGTGATTATGCAGTGAAATTTTTAGCCACCATCACTGCAAGAACCTTAACTTAATAGCAACTGTTTGATGTGGTGAACGATGAATGGATCAGCAAAAGTTGGCTTTTCAATTCATGTGTGTCAATAGCCCTTCTACAAAAAGGGTCCAGATCTATGGATCGCGGTCCGGATCGGTAGATCTGCCTATCCTGGGAAAAAATAAGAAAAAAATGTGAAAGTTTTTAAAAAGGGGAAAGTTTATATAAAGCGGAGGCTCTAAACAATCAAATTTCAAATTATCTCAAAATTTTCATTAAAAGATATTGTTTTGATGCGGAATAAAATATGAGGTTTTTAAAAGGGAAAAATTTATATAGAGCCGACGCTTTAAATAATCAAATTTTAACCTACTTCAAAAATTTCATTAAAAGAGATTGTTTTGATGCCCAAATATCTTCAAATCGATTATATCACATTAAGATGCATGGACATATGAAAAAATTGGATTTCAAGTTTTGAAAATAGTATATTTTGTAACGCATTTTTGGGTCGTCAATCTTTAATATTTAATATTTTCAAGTTTTTTTAGATGTGTTGATCTATAATATTTTTTAAGCTTTAAATTTGATAAATAAATATAAAAATATATTTTAAGGCTATTACAAAGATTTTCAATATTGAAACCACATTTCTCAACACTATTTGAAGGTAGGCTCAAATTTGATTGTTTAGAGCCTA